GTTCCTAGTATGGAGTAACACTCAGCAAAAAAAGAATAAAATAACACAATCATTGTGCATCTCAAAAACACTGTGATAAGTGAAAGAAATCAAATGCAAAGAATTACATATTGTGTAATGAAATATATGATATTTCTAAAATGGCAAAACTATAATGCACAAGAGTTGTGGCCTGGTGTTTTGAAATGGAGTAGGAATTAACTTAGAAGGGCAAGAGGGTTTTTCAGGAGAATAGGAGTATTCCAAAATTGGATGTGGTACTGGTTCTATAAGATAAATTTAAGAAAAATGTATTAAAAGTCATAAAACTGCATAAATGAGGTAGGTGACCATATGGTATGCAAATTATACAACGAAGCTGACAAAATAATTCAGAGTCCCCAAAAGCATTGGCTAAATGAGTTTCTTAATGACATGTTCTAAAATAAAACTAGAAAAGAATTAAATATGCATTTACTGATCATTTGAAATAAGTTATAACACAACCTTAACCATTGGTACATTTTTAAAATTATCTCCTTCTTGCTATTGATATATTTTCTTACATAATTTGATTTGTTACCTTAATATTTTGCCTAGGATAGCTATAGCTTGGCTTATGAAATGGATGTGTTTAAATAACTTGATTTTTATTTCATGTCCTGGTACCCTTACATCAACATCAATGTAATATCGGTTTCCCAAAGGAAATTTTAAAATATTCTTTGTGTTTTCTACTCTGTGTAGGTATGGGAGATGTAGATTTATTTTTCTTCCTTAAAATTGTGGAGTATTCTGTTAGTCTGGACCTGAAATTTTGATTCTGTGGTTTTGTTTCTTGCTTGGTTCTTTGGAATTTTCAAAATGTGATTCAACTTTCTGGGTTTATATAGGGGTTTTCCTATTTTATGTTGTGCTTGCATTTTGTAAATTTGGTTTTCAAAATATGGTTGATTTTGATCTTTGCAGTCAAATTTTTACTTTTAAGAATTTCAAACTTTTCTCCTAGTATCTCTATAAAACAATGATTTTGTTTAAAAAAAAGAAATAAGTTGTAACACTATAATTGTGGGGAAGTTAGTTACATGAGGCAATTCAAAGATGGCACCCAAAGGAAGTAAGGTGGGTGGAATCCAAAGTTGTTTACCACTAAAACTAATTGGCTATGCAACATCAGGGGAAGTGGCAACAACTGATAACGAGGGTATAGACATAGCTAGTCCTATAGAAATTACCCCATAAAATGATCTTTCAAGTGATTGGTTGGTCCTTATGCCCTGCCCCAATGGCTCTGCAGTTTTGTGCTTTAAAGGGCTTTGTTACATGTGAAATAAAAGAGTTCTTGCTAGACTTGGCTCCCTGCTGCATCTGATCATCTCCGGGATCTGGAGGCTGGGGAATGGGCAAGCGGTGCATTTACCTTTCCTCGGGCCCAGTCCATCCTGTACAGGTGGACTAAGACCCTGCAATAATCTATAGCAAAATATTTTTGTGAGTAACTACATTTTCTAAAACCACAAATATAAAAAAATTAGGACAATGGCATTGTTTTCTATTTTTGAAAATCTCTTTAATGTCTTGCTTAATAATAAAAAAATATCTGGACTCTCACAGCTGCTTGTCCTTTAATCTTGGGTAATACTGCAAGTCACACTACCCCCTGGAAAACTATCCTGTAAACTCATAGAAGGATAAGAGGGCAGGGAGCAATTAATGACAAGGTTGACAGAACTACACTTTGAGAATCCTTATAGTGAGGGCCTGTTTCCTGCTCATTTGTTGTTTGAAGGTTTAGGTAGGGAAATGGATGTTTCAAAGGGGGGAACTTTCTGGACTCCTGAACAACAGAGCTGCATCTTGTGTCTTGTTTGAGGGGCAGAGCTGATTCAGCCGCTGGACCACACAAAAGGCCCATGAAATCATTTGGCCTGGCCTTAAGGCAACCACAGGCAGGGCTGGAAATCCAACAGACTAATTTTTAAGCTGATAATTTTCCATGGCCTATGAGTGATGTTTTAAATATCCAAATGGCTCCAGGCAGAAACAATTTCCCCACCCTTGTTAGACCCTGGAAACCAAGTGTGCTGCCCACTAGGCATCTCATTGCCTTCCACAGGTGCTGTAGCTGTAGGGCCTTAAGGGACTGCATGTCTCACCATTCCCTTCTCCTCACCACAACCACAAGCTACAGTGTAAAATTCTCATCCTGGAATTCTGTTGTGTTATCCAGGAAGATTCTATTGTAATTGCTTATCTTTGTGCAATCTAGAAGTATCATCTTTAATAAACATTAAGCTAAGTCAGAGGTTCTCAAAATACAGTCCAGGGACCAGCACCAGAAGCAGCATCTTATAACTGATGTGAAATTCAAGCTCTCTGGCCCCACCATCCTGAACAAAGCCTCTGCAGTTGAGGCTCAGCCATCTGTAGTCTAACAAGCCTTTCAGGCGATTCCAATGCACCAAATAGTTTAAGGCATTAGCCTTGAAGTTAAACTGAGCTGGATCTTTCCTTGGAAAGGAAACCCAGCACAGGTGATAAGGAAAGCACTTTCATTCCCTTCCTATCTCCTCCCCTTCCTGTGTGAGTGGTTCTGGAGAGACAGTGGCAGTACAAGCTTTGAATCAGAAACACAAGTTTTTGTTATTCTGTTTCTCTGGAGATTCCTGATTAATCCATGGTGAATAAATTACACTGATATATAAGAAAAGATATTTGATAAAATTCCTAAACATTATGGATTAAAATCGATTAATACTGGGACCAACATTGTGGTACAGCTGGTTGAGGTGCTACTCGTGACACTGGCAACCCAAATCAACTGTGGTTGAGTCCAAACTGCTCTATTTCTGATCCAGTTCCCTGCTAATATGCCTGGGAAGGAAACCAAAGATGGCTCAAGTACTTGGACACCCCCCAACCCAGGTGGGAGACCAGGTTAGAGTTCCAAGCTCCTGGCTGTGGCCAGGAACAGTCTCAGCCATTATAGCCATTTAGAGACTGAACCAGTGGATGAAGGATCTACTTTTCTCTATCATTTTGCCTGTAAAATGAATAAATACTTTAAAAATATAAAATTAATACATATAAACCCAACATTTACTTAATATTTAATTTATTTCAAATGATTTGCTAAAATAATGTTTATGGTTGCAGCCATTAGCTTCTAAGTCAGAAGATGAGATCAAATCATTACTATTATTTACCATTGTGTCTGATACTCAAAATGAACATATATAGAAAAGGAAACTTGTGCTATAAAAATTGTAAATGCTTCAAAACTGATTTTTTATCTAGAAAAACACTTTAAATCATACTTTATTAAGATTTCTAGGAACAAAATAAGCACTCAAAAATGGCCATCATACATAAAGGGTAGAAATACTAATTAGATATAAATATTTTTAGCACACAATGTAGAATTTGGGGAGTGAACTGGCAGATGGAAGATTCTCTCTCTCTCTCTCTGCCAGTCCTTCTCTCTGTGTGTAACTCTTTCAAATAAATAAATAAATATTTATTAAAAAAAAAAAACAACAGAGGAGGGGCTGGCATTGTGGCATAGCTGATTGAGTTGCCACTCACAACTCTGGCATTCCAAGAGGGATGGTATGATTCCCAGGTGCTCCAGTTCTTATCCAGCTGTTAATATACCTGGGAAATCCACAAAAGATGACCCAAATACTTGGGTCCCTGAATGCATGTGGGAGACCTGGATGGAGTTTCAGGCACCTTTTTTTCGTCTGGCCCAACCCTAACTAGTGTGGCCATTTGAGAAAGGAGTCAGTAGATGGTATAACTCTCTCTCTGCCTCTCCAACTCCATCCCCTTCCTTCTCCCTCGCCCTGTAACTCCTTACCAAAAGTACTGTGAGATTAACTACAAAACTTGTTCTCAAACAGGGTTTTGGATGTCATGTGTGTGTGTGTGCTGTAGGTGGGGGTACAAACTGTTGAAATCTATACTTAGTATAGAGTTGGTCTGTATATAAAGTTGGTTGAAAGTTAATCTTGATGAAGAATGGGATAGGAAGGGGAGTAGGAGAAGAAATGGGAGTAGGTATGGGAGGGTGGGCACCAGAGGAAGGAACACTAAATTTGTACCTGTGGAATTTCCATTCATTAAGTAAAAGCTTTAAAAATATTTTAAAAACTCCTAAAAATGAAAACCTAGAGGACAGTGAACTATAAAATAATGATCTTTCAGCTTTTACAGAAGCTCAGCTGCAACCTTGTATTGATTTAAATAAGGAGCTTCATCAATTTCTTACAAGAAAGGGAATATACTTTGAAAAATAAGCAGAAAACTTAAATACAAGTGCAGGGAAATATATTTTTGATGCAGAAAGGGATCATAGTGCTTCAACCCCCAAAAAAGAGATTTTAATGTGATCGCATCTTCATGGTGGTATTATTATTATTATTATTATTATTTCTTTATTTAAACTTGAAATTGAAGAAGAAATCCTGTCATTTTGTGTTCTGGTTGGGAGTCCAAAGTAGAAACTCAATTGCTGGCATCATTGCTTTTTTTGTATTTTACAATAAACTCTCCCCCCACCCACCCAACCCCTGATGTTTTTATGTCTAAAACAAAAATTTTGTAGTTGTGCAGAAAAAAAAAAATAAAACTAGTCTCAACTTCTAACACCTTCAATGTCTCACCCAAAAATAACATTGATTTTGGACATCTGATGTCCAATTTAAGAAAGAATTGACCATCACACTTAGTTGAATTAGTAGTGACTTGAGTTAGTAAATTACCTAATATTAAGCCCACAGAGCTCCTGGGGAACCGCAGGCTGGCCACCTGTGGGAACTTCCTCACTTTGCTGTTTGCCTGGCCTGTTGTAACAACTTGTGCAAAACAAGTTAAGGAAGTGCTGGCTGCTGAGCAAAACAAGTCAAGGAAGTGCTAACCACAGGATGTTCTGAAGACACACAAACAACCCTGATGGAGCAAGATGAACTTTCAACCTGAGGCACTATGTGCCCTTCAACTTGATTGGACTGTGCCTGCATGGACTGCATGTGAACAGACTTGCCATTGGCTAGGAGCGTCCTGCTAGGGGAACCTTGGGTATATAATGGGGATAGTATTGTGCAGAGAGGGCTTGGCTTCTTTTCTTTCGCCTTGCATCTGGATGAATAAAATTCCATGAGAACCGAGTAAGCAGCGACCGTGTCTTTACTATGCTGGACTCTCGCTGGCGAGCATCTGGCAAGCTCCCATCTGCCAATTCACTCCCCAAGATGGCCAGGACTGGGCTACGACAAAGCTAGCAGCCAGAAACGTATTTCTAGGTCTAGGTACTTGAACCATCTCCTGTTGCTTCCCACAGTGCCCATTGCCACCAAGAAGCTAGAATCTGGAGAGGAGAAGTACATGTCCCCAGGTGATCCAATATGAGATGTGGACATAGCAAGTGGCTCTGAAACCAATAAGCCAAACATTCCTGATGTTAGAGTAGCTTTGTTAATACTAATCTTTTATTTGTTCTTTAGTCCACTTATTCACTACATTTGTTTTGTGTAATATGTCCTAAGCAGTACTCGGGGTAATAGCAATACAGCACCAGGTAAGATTTTCCATTTGTAAATTTTGGGATTTGCACTCAAGCAGACATCACTAACTATCAGTTTTTGAATTCATGTTGGAAGTTATTGGTGATGTTGGATGTTATGTGTAGAGTGTGTAGTAAGAAAAGTCACTGTGGTCTCTAAGGTCACGAAGGGCTTTGAGCAGAGATGTGATGCGTGATCAGGACTGGTTGAAGTGATTGCCTATCAGGCACTTGTATCTACCCCAAAAGGCCAGATTTAAAGAGAAACCTTTGCAAATTTGTTTTATTTAGTAAACTGAGAGAGAGGACACTTCACTTTTCTACCCAACACATAATCAAATAGGAGAATAAAATGCTTTTTGCATGTGGATGTGCCTTGGTAGCATTTAACTAAATGGAAAAACAAGACCCCAGAAGCCACATATTTCATCATTTTAGTAGCGTAAACTGTTTAGAATATACAAATCCACAAAAGAAAAAGCAGAAAAGGAATTGTCAGGTGATGGAGTAGGAAGTATGCCCAGGGGGAGTATATTGTTTCTTCCTGGGTGATGAAAAAGTATTGGGATCAGATAACTATGAGAGTTGCAAAGCTCTTTATTAAAATAAATTTTAAGAGAAAAAGTTCATACATTCATTGCGGTTGTATGTTGTGTGTTTTATAACCATGCTCTAATTATGATTACACTGTGCTCATTAAGTTACAGTGTGCTTAAAAACAATCCTGATGTCTCACATAAAAACATCCCAGGACAGCAGTTTCCTCCGTATGGGGGTTCACAAAGACATTTCATGGTGGACAAAGGTACAAAAAGGGGTTCAGAGGAGAAGTAAAGTGGGTTGGAACATTACAATGTATGAGGGAACCTATGTCAGCATCATAGAAACTCACTGTTCCATGGTCGCAATCCAGAAACACTCCAACCCTACTCAGGGGCATTTCCACATAGTGAGTTAAGGGTGGAACACTGGCGGAGAGGACGTAATGGTTGTTACTCTTCAGGGAGGCCAGGAGAAATGCTTCTTCGAGATTAATAATGTCACTGGTATCACTTGTGCTGGAATCATAACAGACTCCCAAAATCCAGTTGGAAGAGGATGACACATCCACCTCCCAGTAATGTTTGCCAGAGGTGAAGGTCTTGAGCACCCTACACAGCAAAGCTCTCTGCTCTCTGGGAATGGCTGGGGACACCACAACGTTCTTCTCCAACTATTGCACTTCTGAGGTCCTCAGAGAGCTTTATGTAGCGGCGGGCCACTTCCTTCATCAGACCATGATCCACTTCAGAAAGAGAATAATCTGATCAATGAATGTTGTTTATATGGCCTGAATACAAATGTTTTCTGCCCATGGAATCACTTCCCTTGACTTTGCAAGGAAAACTAACAGAAGAAAAGGAAGCACAATGAATTGAGATTTGCTCAACTGAGAAACTGGAGGGTTCAAGTGACTTTACAGAAAAAAGAAATCAAACAACAGAGAAAAATAAGAAAAAGAACTTGGACATATCACACACCGTGTGAAGCAGGGTTTTGGTTGGTGTGGAGTGTTAATTGTTTCAATAGGTTTGAATATATATGTTTATTTTCTTTGAAAAGAGAGACACAGAGACTGAGAAGTGTTCCATCTGCTGGTTCACTCTCCAAATACCCACAACCAGGGCTTGGCCAGGCCTGAGCCAGGAGCCAGGATCCAATCCTGGTCTGCCACATGGGTAGCAGGGATCCATATATTAGGGAAAACATCTGCTGCCTCCCAAGGTGTGCATTAACAGGAAGCTGGATGGAAGCTGAGATGGGACTGAATCCCAGGCACTTTGCTACGGGGTACAGGTGCCCAAGATACATACTGCTGTGCCAAATGCCTACCACTGGATAGCCTGTATTGAGACCAACCTACAACTTTTACTTTCTTGGCTAGAAAACAGTTCTTGAGTTTTTTCTTTAATTCCATTAGTAAATAACACTATTTGAAATATGATACTTATTAATTGGGAAATAAGCTGTACATCTGAATATTTCAACATAAAACACATGCCCCAATAAATAATATCTCTAAAGAATGTTCTGACTTCTGCTTCTCTGTTCAGAACGTGGATTTCGCCTAATCTGGGTTTCAACCCTCTGCTCTCTGAACTATTGTCTAGTGCAGGCCTAACATCATTCACAGATGTCTCATCATTTAATTGTTTTCAGAATCAGGAGATAGCATTGGAATGGGTCTGCTTTTGACAATTTCTCATTTTTGGGGTTGGTCAAATCTTTCTGAGTTTATCAACGATAATAGCTACTTTAGCAGTGCATGATAAATATACTTGGCATATAGGACAAATTAAAAAATCAAGGGCCATATTTAAGCTTTCAGAAATGTAGTGAGATGGGGCTGGTGTTGTAGCATAGTGGTTCAGGCTGATGCCTATGACACTGGCATCCCACAGGATGTTCATGTCCCAGCTGTTCCCCAATAATGGCCTGGGGAAGCAGCAGAAGATGACCCAAAAGTTTGTGGAGATGCAGAAGATGCTCCTGGCTCCTGGCTCCTGGCTCCTGGCTTTGGTTGTGCTAGCCATGGTCATTGCAGCCATCTTGGGAGGAAAACAACAGATGAAAGAGCTCCCTTACTGTCTCTCCCTACAAAAATTGCAGTGAACGCAGTCAACATACAGTCTTGACTGCCGTGCTAAGAATTGAGCATTGTATCCCTTCTTAATCAAATCACCTGAATATCTTCCCATACTCTGCTTATATCAGCATGCTTATTTACAAGGTTCAGCTTTGATCATTGAAATGTGATTAAACAAAGTGAGAAGACACAGTTTCTGAAAAAACCTATCAGATTTTCAGGGAAGGAGAACAAAATAAAATGGGAAATGGCTCAGGCACAAAAGCAGTGAAGAAGAAGGAAATTAGGGCTGGAAGGATGGAGGTTGAGGCTTACCTTTGAAGTTGTATAGCATCTCTATGAGTCCAGTGATGTTCCATAACGTCAGCTCTGGGTTTACCAGCTGGGGACTGAGTGTGCCAGTACTGCTCTGTAAAGAATCACACCAGGGACACTCCAGGTCAAAGGGCAATCACAGGGTCAAGACAACATCACCAGCTGCAAATCCAAAATATTTCACTGGGAATTTTCCCATTATTGGCTAATAAGAATAAATTTTATTAACATTCTTTGGAGAAATAAAATTAGTACTTTTATCTAAATTTCACATCTAAGCCATTTGCCTCTTTCTTCTCAGACATTATCCAACCTCTGGAATAACAGTCATTCCCCCTGTACCCCTCACTTGATTTCAGGGAAAGCAGAGATCCTGGGTAGCTTGCAGAGAGCAGGGCTTTTAGGCAGAATCTATGGGAATTCAGTCAACAGACATCCCCACCAGTACAGTCAAAAGGATCTGCACTGAGCCAGGAGGCTGTGAGTTTTCTGCCAAGCAAGGGAATGGAATTCCAGACTGGCAGCCATGGTCCTGAGGGAGCTGAGGTGGCTGATTCCCCTGATCCAGCTTTCAACTGGGACAGGCTGAGAGGGCAGGACCTGCTCACTGTTGCTCCCAGGAGGGAATCCTCCCTCCTCCTCCCCTGCTATGGGAATTCCTCTTTCCTGTGTCTTTTTTCCCTTTCCCTCTCAGAAGGGTGGGGCCTCCTCTGGGATTTCTCAGAATAATCTGTTCATAAAGGTTGGTTGGGGCAGTTCCAGAGAAAGGGGAGGAGAGAAGGGGAAACAAAGCCCAGAAAGTCAAATCATTGTTTTTACATATGTGAATTCAGCCACATCTCATCTGGCACCAAAGAGTAGAAAACTTCAGGATCCCTTATCAAACAAAATAGTAAATAGTCAGGGAGATCAAAGTTAATCACTCAAAACAGAAGCATCTGCTACATGAACAACAGCATAACTTACTTACAGATTGGAGATTCTCACTGTAAACTTACCTTTCTAATACACTCCCCATACTGCAAGAAAAAAAATTTAAAAAATAATTAGTCATGAGAACTCTCTCCTCTGTACTCTATAAAATTCTTTTTATTTTATTTTATTTTTTTGATGGGCAGAGTGGACAGTGAGAGGGGAGAGACAGAGGAAAAGGTCTTCCTTTGCCGTTGGTTCACCCTCCAATGGCCGCTGCGGCCAGTGCGCTGTGGCTGGCGCACCACGCTGATCCGATGGCAGGAGCCAGGTACTTCCCCTGGTCTCCCATGGGGTGCAGGGCCCAAGTACTTGGGCCATCCTCCACTGCACTCCCTGGCCACATCAGAGAGCTGGCCTGGAAGAGGGGCAACCAGGACAGAATCCGGCGCCCCGACCAGGACTAGAACCCGGTGTGCCGGCGCCGCAAGGCAGAGGATTAGCCTAGTGAGCTGTGGCGCCGGCCATATAAAAGCCTTGCTTTAATATTTTTCAATAATGTATTTTCTTCTTATTCTCTGCAAAGATGTATCAGAGTCTGTTAATAACAGACTAAGAGCTGATCCAAGAAGGACTTCCTTTGTGTGAATTAAGATGGCATTGAGGATGAAGTTGTGCAGCAATGTAAAAAGTTCTAGGTTGCAGGGTCACTCTCCCCCACTCATATTCCAGAGAGAGGTCTGACCTCTACTGACGTTTATTGCAAAGCGGGGAAACCTCTGAAAATCAGAGTGCACCACCATTGATTACCAAAACTTGCTTAGGCAAAGGTCAAGGCCTCAATGTCTTCAGAAAATATTTTTTTAATTTGGGCACCACAGTGTTTATGGAGGCATGAGGCAGGTGTAGGGAATTTTTTTTTTTTTTTTTGGTCAAGGGCAATTGGATAGTGATACCATCATATATAGACATTCCAAATTAACAGCTGAGAAATAAATATTCTGCAGATTTTTTGAATTTTCTGGGGTTGCCTCGGCAAGGCTGAACCAATTGGTTTCCCAGACCTTCTATAACACTCTGATTGGACATTCAGCACCCCTGAAGGGGAAATATAGATAGAAAATCAATTTAAAATTGTAACCATTTTGTGCTCACTGAGTTCCTGGATAATTTTTTCTACAGCAATTTTCTTGCTTACACTGCAGAGAATTTTATCCAGTGTGAATTATGACAAAGGAAAGCATGCAAAAGATTATCAGATTATAAAGAACCAAGTGATTGGGCAAAAATAAAGATACAGGGCAACCTGAATCCTGCAGCGGAATAAGTAGTGATATGTGCAGTTAACATTTTCAGGTTCTTATGACCTTGCCCAGAAAAGCACTTCTTTCCATGAACAAGGGCTCTCCCTGCTCACCTGCAGTAACTCCAGGTCAGGCTTCCAGCATGCCTCAGCCAGCTCTCTGTACGTTTCTTTCAGCTGGTGTTTCTGTTGGGTCATTCTCATTTCACTGTCCTTGAGCTGCTGGGAAATCTCCTGTGCTTCTCTGTGCAGAGCCTGCAGCTGCAGTTCTTCTTCCTTGTAGAGAAGTATATGCAACTTCTGGTACTGAGCTTTTATCATCAACTCCCTTAAGGACACATATTCCTGTGGAGATATTGGGTTAAAGATTACATATCCTCATGCTAAACAGAAAATTGAAACTGGCAATATTATTTCTCCATTTGCCTGAGACACTGACACCCCTAGGATTGCCTCATCAAGTTCTTGCTGTTCTAGTTCCCATGCATCTACTTGCTAACATGCCTGGGAAGGAAGCATTGGTGGGCCCAAGTGCTTGGGCCTTTACCATCCATATGGGAGACTCTGATGAAGTTTCAGCCTCCTGTTCTCATCCTGTGCCAGCCACTGTAATTTAGGGAATGAACAAGCACATGGATGCTCCCCTCATCCTATCTTTCAACTAAATAAAGTTTTCAAAATGTACTTCTCTTCAGACTTTCTGCCTCACCCATGCAAAACCTCTTGAGTACATGCAAGTCTTTTCTGCGCATGCCTCCTGTAGGTTCTTAGCCTTTTTCTCTGTTTAAATCAAGACTCAGCAAAGGATTGCAGGTGTCCCCCCACCTCCCTCTCTCTCCCTCCTTTTCTGAAGCTTCTTCAGGATTTTGACCCCATCAGCTATTTTGACTGTAGTAGTAACCTTCTTAATTTTGTTCTGTTCCTTTGCCTGATTCTTCTAAATAATTAAACATATTTAGGTACATTCCCCATCCTACAGAGTAGTGTTGAAAGACTTCATTTCCTTCATAGATATGATTCTACTTTCCACTGCTTCTTCATAGCCATACTTAGTGCTCTCTTTAGTGTTGGAGAAGGTTTCTGTAAACCTTCAGGGTTGGACTTGGAGTATCTGTGATGACCTGTCTCCACTACACCCTGGTATACTTCTCGCTATGTTTCTTGGCGGGCACAGGATTTGTGATTACTGAGTTATTATTTGAAACCACCACTTCTTCTGGGAGGAAATCATGAACTCTTCATGGTAACCCGAATTTGCTAAAGCAGTATGGTGATTGTAAAGCATTATAGTAATTGAAGAACATCTTTTTTATTCTTACCTGGAATGAATGTTCCTTTTTAATTTCCTGTGTCACATTGTTTTTCAATTCCTGGATCCATTCTCATAAAGTATTCATTTCCTTTAAAAGTTTTTCCTGCAGAATAATTATGAGATTTAGCAACATGGACTATATTATTACATATTTCACCCCCTTACTTATTGGAAATGGCAGTGGTTGTGAGAATAGTATTGAGACCACTAATGTTTTTTCTTCTGTTCTCTTTTTCTGATAATAGTATATTTGAATAAAGTAGAGTGGTCATATTTGCACAAGTTGACCTATTTGAGTCTTAGATTTGGGGTATTAAAGGTGGTAGAAAATTACAAGGCTGTGCTAGTGTAGTGAGCTCATTGGCCACCTGCTAAACCAGTATTCCATGTGGGCACCAGGTCATGTCCTGGCTCCTCCACTTCTGCTCCATCTCCCTTCTGATGGCCTGTGAAAGCAATGGAAGATGAACCAAGTGCTTTGACATCTGACACCCACATGAAAGACCCAAAAGAAGATCCTGAGTCCCAGCTTCAGCCTGGCCCACCCTGGTCATGAGGACATTTGGGTTAAAAACCTCAAAATGGATGGTAATTCTCTCTCTCTCTCTCCCTCTTTCTTCTCTGCTATTCATTCCTCCAGGACTCATTGGCTTTAATGGTCACAAAACCACGGGGCTCTATACTAAAATTCTATGTTCGCTGTCTTCCAACTCACAGAGGGACTTTTCTGAAGAAATCAATTAAGAGATTAGGCTTAATCTAAGATTGTTTGATTTAACAAGTGTTAAGCTGAATGCTCGACTTCTAAAACATTAAGCAGGTGGGTTTCTTTTTAAGCTTTAACCCAAGGCCTTTTCTTCAAGTAATAAAATGCAAAAATCATATTCAGTTTGAGAAAATATGATTGTCTCAGAGTCAGTTCATGTCATCAGAGAGATTGTAACATTCTGGAAATGTGAACTGTCAGCTACAGTAATGGGCAGCAATTGCCATATTGTGTTTTTAATATTTATTTATTTATTTGATGGTTAGAGTTAGAGAGAGAAGGAAAGGCAGAGAGAGAGAGTGAGAGAGAGAGGGGAGAGAGAGAGGTCTTCCATCCACTGTTTCACTCCCCAATTGGTTACAATGGCTGGAGCTGTGTCGGTGGAAGCCGGGAGCCAGGAGTTTCTTCTGGTCTCCCATGTGGGTACAAGGGCCCAAGGACTTGGACAATCGTCTACTGCTTTCCCAGCCTACAGTAGAGAGCTGGATCAAAAGTGGAGCAGCCAGGACTATATCCAGCACTGTTAGAGTCTGAAAAAGCCCACCGCCCGAGGAACGACTCCAAGAGACTTTTCTCTCATGCAACCAGAAAAGGGTTAAAGATTTATTGATTATCCAGCATGCTGGGGCTGTCTGATCATACATGAACAGAGCAGCCCCGAATAACCAAAGGTTAGGGTTTATAAAGGCAAAAACTGCAAAATCGGGAAGGGGGGAATACATGGTTGCTATGCACGGTTGCTATACACAGTTGCTAAAATCAAAAGAGAGTACATAAAACCAAAAGAGAGTATATGGTTACTGGGGTCAACATAACCTAAAACCTAAGTGAAATTAATATTTATCATAATCTTGACAATACCAGTTACAATCTTACAATTAGCAATTAGGACTTGACATTAATGTAAGACACAGACAAATCACATCTTCATTATTAGCCCAGGTAACCCAGGTGAAACCCTTTTACTTTTAAGCTTGAGCAATCATGCTAGGGGGTTTTTGTGCTCTTCCAAGGGTGATGTAGTGCACTGCTATTGTCCGACTATTTGAGATCATAGTTTCAGACCAGAGTCTCACGGTGGGGGGGTGCTTTCTCAAATTGGAGTCTCAAGTGCTCCAAAATGGAGTCTCTACTGTCAAGGTGCTACTTTACTCTTATTTTCACAGCTGTACCAGGAAGGTTTAAACCTGTAAGCTTAAGCTTAACTTTTTGCACCGCACATATACAATTTTAACTCTTCAGCACCATGTCAGCACTGCAGGTGGCGGCTTTACCTGCTATGCCACAGTGCTGGCCTCTGCCCAATTGTTCTTTAAATCAAGCCTCCACAATGATAATGAACACTAGATTTCCTTCCAATTCTAGAAGATCCATAGATGCAGATAATGAGGCATGAATGATTCATCCTTATTTTCCCAAAGAGACAAATGTCATATCTTGGGAGCACTTTTCTGTTGGTTGGCTCTATTTTGAATATTTTCCACAATTAGTCTACAAAGCAAGGTAGCGCACTCTGAAATAATGGTTTTCAAATTATTTCAACACATTTAGGAATATTTTGATTTGTATAAAGGCTACTATTCATTTCTCAGTAGCCACAGGAAATTGGTTCCACCAAGCCTGGGCAGATACCAAAATTCACAGATGCTCAATCCCTTATATAAATGGTATGGTGTGGAACTTGCTGTGGCTTAGCAGGTAAAGCTGCCACCCGCAGTACTGGCAAGCACATACAGGTGTCGTTTGAGTCCTGGCTACTCCACTTCTGCTACAGCTCCCTGCGATGGCCTGTGCATGTTGTAGAAGGTAGCCCAAGTCCTTAGGCCCTGATACCCACATAGGAGACCTGGAGGAGGCTCCTGGCTCCTGGCTTCAGATTGGCCCAGCACCGGCCATTGTGGCCACTAGGGAGTGAACCAGCAGATAGAAAAAAATCTCTCTCTCTCTCTCTGACTTGTGACTTGTGTAAAAATTAAAAACAGAAATCTTTAACAACTTACAATCTAGTAACGTATAAAGACATGGAATACAAAGTCAAATAATTTAGCACACAAATCAATATATCTGAATGTTCTAATCATGGATACTTTCTTTACTGATAAAATTTAAAATAAGTAGGAAAGCCACAGGATAGTTTTGAGAAAACATCTGTAACCTGATCGTTAAGCTTAAAGTATTTTGTAAAAGAAATTGAACATGAAAGCCTATCCTCTAAGTTTGACACTCACAGTGTGTGCTTCGAGAGGTCTCACCTATGGAAGGGCAGATGTGGTTGGTCTTTCAGCTCTCCAATGCACAGCTGCTTCCAGTTCAAGATCGTCTCTTCTGGTCTAAACTCTTCTAGGTGTGTCCCCTTTTACAGGATTTCACCTGACCCACCCACCAAACCCACTACTGAGAGAGCCTCTGTCTTCAGATCTCATTGGATTTGCATGATGAAGTTATAGCGAAGGTGGAAAAGTGATTCATTGGATTAGCATGGTACAGAAAATAGTACCCAAGGGCTAAGCAAAATGTCGACTGGGTTATGGGAGATGTGGGGAAGTTGACCGGATGCAAATGGTTCCCCAAGAAATTTTCACTGAGGGCTGAGAGTGCCAGGCTTTGGAACAAGCTGACACTGGCAGGATGTGAGAGGGTGGCGGGAGAATGGCAGAAGTCTCCATGGCTCTCCTCTGCCTCAGAGGAACCACCTCTTCCATGCTGCCACTCCTCTTGCAAGGCTTTGGTCGTGTTGTAGTTTACATCACAAACCTCCTGCACCCATAGTTAGGCTCTTTCAGATGCTGCTCTCTGGGTTGTTCCAATTTTGTGAATGTCTGCCATTTTTTTTTTCCCAAAGTGCCCCCAGATCTCTGCTCCATGGACTCAGATGTTTCCTTAGATGGTTAACTTAGGGGATGGCCTTCTGCATAGTGTGTTAGGTCAGCACTGCTCACAATGCTGGCCTTCCATGTGGGAGCTCTGGTTTAGTCCCAGCTGCTCCACTACCAATCCAGCTCCCTATTTTCATGCCTGAGGAAGCAGTGGCAAATGGCCCAAGAGTGTGGCCTTCTGCCTCCCACTGGGAGACCTGGAATAAGCTCTGGCTCCTTCCCTGCTTAGACTAAATTATTATTAATCACCCTGGGTACACCATAATATTCCTGTAGAAAATCATTTTACACATTCCACAACAGGATTTTCCAAAGGCTTCCTTGCCAGAACTTCAGCATTTAATGCATATGGCATCTGAAAATAACAGAGAATTATTAATTTATAAGATACACAATTACAATAGGCAAAAATTTTATAATTAA